GTATTTGATTTTTAACCAAAACAAAATATATATATATATTATCAGAACATGTCGCTAGTATTTAGTAAATACTACTCTCTTCGTTTTTTAATATTAAATAATCTAGGAATTTTTGTTTGTTTTATAAGATAAGATGTTTTCAGATTTTTATGTAGTTTTTATTTTTATTGACTATTATAGAACTAATAATATTATGCGATCTTTTTTTTTAATTGACTGCATTATTTATATTTTATTTATTAAATAATTTTATTTACAAAAAAAGTTTTTTCTTAAAAAATATATAAGAATTGAATTTAAGAAGGGACATATAGCAGAAAATGAGTTCAAGAAGAGACGTATTACAAATATACAAAAGCATTGTCATTGTGATAATTAAGTTTTACGTGTACAAGAAGAGAGATATATCCACTTGTTAAATTATACGTCTACGTAGAAAACATATTACAGAAAACAAATTATTCATTTCTAACAGTTGAGTAAATAATAAAATCGAAATAACAAATATATATACTTTGCATTACTATTTACCTAATTACACGTTCATCAATATAAGTTTTTTTTTATAAACCCGTGTAGTTTTGGATCTTTGATTCATAATCTCTTCAGTGTCTTAATCCTAACGTTGATAATATCATGTTTAAGGCATAAATCATCAATTTCTAATAGAGTTAAACTAGTAACTTTAAAAACTATTTTTTAAATATCAAGACCATTAAAGCATCAACTACTTGGTTCATCAATATAAGTTACTTAAAGTTTCTTTCAATTTTTTGTTATTTAAATTGGTTTTTACCTTTTTGTCACTCTATTGCCAATTGCCAATATTATCTTTTTGTTATTGGTGATTTCCGGAACGGTAAAGATCATTTACGACGGTCTACAAATTTGGTCCAATGGGAAAAACATGCAAAGAATATGTGACGTGTGTATGTATGGACATATATGAGTCGACATGTCTTTTATCTATTTCAATGTGAGACAAAAATATAAGTCGATCAAGGAAACTGAAAAATTCAAAGAACCCAAAATCAGTTTTTTTTTTGGTTAAACAATGGAAAGCTTTTTTAGCTTTTGGGGGGGAATTTTATGGGTCTTTGATAGCATCACATGAACAAATATGGATACCCACCAGCATCTGGCGTGACTTGGGTCTTCTTGATATGCTTTGTCTCTTTATGTTGCCTCTTTGTATTTGTCTACATAATATTAAAAGAGACTTCTTTAGACAATTATAAAAACATTTTGAAATGTAGAGATCACATATGTTTGTTGAATTTCAGTTGTACCCTTAATTTAAGATGTAATACAGAGGCATCATCAATAATAATAACCTTTTCATTGATTCTTCGAACACAAGATAAAGTCATCTTCTTATAATTAAATCATCGAAATCAATACCGATATCAAAGAAGATAAAGGGTGAACTCTCAATTTCATTAATAAAAACATAAAAAAATATAATTTTAGACATTAACGGTTTTTTCAACTTAAATCCCAAAAAAACTTAAAACCAATAAAAAAATATTGTCCAAAAAATAAAAAATATTTAGAAATAATTCAAATATTTTGCTGCATCAACAGGAATATTCCACTTGAGGTAATTCATTATCATATTCCACTTGAGGTAATTCAAATATTTTGCTGCATCAACAGGGATTTTCAGCTCTCAATCCTGCTTGGATACCAATAAAAGCGCTAGTTCTCCAACCAAGTTATCATAGAACAACGATGAAAGTATTTGTAATTATGATCTCAAATCAATACTTAAATAAGAAACACGTAACAAAATTTAGCGCCAAATTGCGGAATTGAGATTTGGAGCTTAAATTTATTGAAATGAAGTAATGAACGATAGTTTGTAGTGTATGATGAAATGAGTAAACACAAAAACAAACTATCATCAGGAAGTAGTGTGATATAGCCCATCGCACATTGCTTGATATAGCCCATCGTACATCTCAACCGATTACTGGGCCGCAGCACCTAATAACCTAACCCAAACATTGCTTCATTTAGGTTTTGCCTACCAAACATATTTTTTTTACTTTTCTTTCACATTCTATTTGGATCGGTCATATATTTGTTGGATTCTGA